TATGAAATACCCACGGTAAACTGTCGCGCTCCGCACTGATCCGTCGCGTCTACATTTTCACGTCGTGTTGCAGCCTCGTAGACCACGTAAAAAATAAGTTGAGGTATGGTTCACTGGTTGGTGGGTCTTCGGGTGTTCGATGCGTCCGAACTGAACGAAACTTTGTTTACGAATGCGCCGAGCCGGCCCGGCCGGCGCTCTTATATAGGCGTCGGACGCCGCAGTACCGAACGTTCGAGAACATGCTTCGGCTAATGCGCACATCGTTTCCCATACAATTTTCACTCATTTTCCCACCCCTTCTTCGAACACCATTGACATAATCGTGTTCCTCGTGTGAAGAACTATCGTTTGACATTGAAAGCTACCGGAATTTCCTCATTTTTTGGCAGAATATAAGCGAAAACGAAGTATTGATCGACGGATGGCGATGTTATTTCTAGCATGTTCTCCCACCCAGAACCCGGCCATAAGCTAACTCATACAAACGCACAGCTGTCTCCTTCCCCCGATTATTCAGCTACACGTACACGTTCGAAACCGGTATCCATGTTGTATTCAGATGCTTGTTTTGGACAGTTGCGCCAGGTGAAAGCACCCTGGGAACCCAAGTGATTATGAAGAATGAAGGACAAGGTAGGCCTTGGCCCTTAGCGGAACGTGATCAATCCACGTATTTTCTACGAGAAACTTGAGGTTCTAGAAACTTCGCTCCTAGTAGCGTCCCATGCTACGTGTTCGCAGTAATTACCATCGCGTCGTAGGAGTGGAATTTCAAGCAATATATTTAGACTTCTCCCGCAGAGACGGCTCGTATGACGAAAAACAAGCAGTGCCTCTTTGTCTGCCGTACTCACAATCAGTAGCTCGAGATAAGATTGCGTCGCTTGAAGATTACGTATGTGTTTCACAAATCCGGCCACCGAAGTCCAAGTCAATCACCAGATTTGATTAAAAACCGCTACACGAATCAGTATTTTTGCCTGCAGTTTTTCGTAATGCGAGATGAGATTACATCAATAGAACATTGCATATCGGATGTTCTACTGCAATTCGAGCAGGGAACTGCGACGCAATAACTCTTATATTAACTCTTAGACTTCGGAACTGCGTAGTTACCCAGAACCATATGTTACGAGGGAACGACCGTCGGATAATGTATTTAAAATGAATAAAAATATTCGCTGCCTTAAGATATACGGAAGATGCGGTCGCAACGCCAACGCAATTGACAGCGCCGTGTTCGTAAATACACTTTCTGAGTCGCAGGTCAACGATCTGGCTTCGACTCTGATTAACCACGAGACACGTCCGTCTAATCATTAATGCCCGCTGAGAAAAACGTACGCATTCCGGTTCGTACGGGAAAAGTGCATATTATTGCGCAATACAGGTTTTGCGCGACAGCTTCAGCTCTATCGATTTTCCACGAGCACGTCTTCCGGTCCCTGTGCTGGAGCGGCGTAGCGTCTCGGCTGAGAGATGTTCAATTGATCTGAGTTTATTCATGGGAATGAACGGTCGCGGCCCAAGACACCGGTTCCTTTATGCCGTTATGCGTAACGTAACACAATAGATGAAATAACGAAACGGGGTTAAGTTTAAAGGGGCCGGGATGAAAGAGCAAGCTGCCAGAGTATTACAATGAAGAGCAGATGTATTGCGATGAACTCGCATCGGAGAGCCGACAATCGAACAAACGGAACCAGTTGGCCGGATACGAGTTCGCAATTTTTTACATGGATATGGACGTTATAAAATAATGCGACGTTCCCCCGTCGCATCTGCTATCCTATCGATATTACTTTTAAACGAATTCTTTCTGATGAGCACATTCCCATTGTCATCGGTTCGTCATAAATGTCTATGATCCGGGATAACAAGATTTAATGACCGTGTACTCCAATATAGAACAAAATAACGTCGATATTTCAATGGTGCAGCTCATGCACTGAATGTACAATAATTAATGCTAAATTATTGTAAATTTAGCTAAGTGGTTTATGCAATCTCGAGGTCGACTGATAAATATACGCAGAATGACGCATGTTTCTCACATTTATAGCACTCGTCCAACAAGCGGACTGCAATTGTTCCTAAATTTATCTCTTATCAGCCGCCGTCTCGTTTATCGGTCAGTTATTAAATTAACGGGTGCAGAAAAATTTGCTACATGACTAAAACTTGAACTCGATATTTCACAGTTACTAGTCGATTATATTTATAATTGCGGAACGCGGTAGAGTGATTATTCGAATTAAAAACGGAGATAAAGTATCTGGAGAGTGTGGATGGTTCTGTCAGAATCCAGAACGTTCCACCGGACCGGACGGATGCAGCAGGTAATCAATAGTTTCAGCGGGCGAGCTCTGTATGTACTTATACGATATACGTATGTCCATACGAAGTCGTCCGCCTATGTAATAAATACATATATGCACTGGTAATTCCCGTTTTCACATGACGCCATCAATCGATCGTGTAACACACGAGAATCGCAATTAATTATGCTCTCGATGTTGTTTGAAAATAGATTGAAGAAAGCTTTGCATGATAAATTACGGCGTGAGATAAACTTCAGTTCACGTACGGATAAGAAAAGTTGCGGTTTAATAAAGCAATGTTGAAAAGTTTGCAGAAGAGAGTTTCGCTTTTTCAATCCGTTTTTCATGGGACACGTATACTCGATGATTGGAACAGTATTATCGACTTAAAAAAAGAAAGGGGATGCACCGAGAGGGCAATTAGACTTGAGAAAACTTTGCAGTCGGGGCAATTATTTGCGACGATGCTACCCTACGCGGAAAAAAAAAATATCAACCCGTTGCACAGGGTTGAGATAATAATAGGTTATACCCAACCGTTGATGCCCATAATATGCCGTATTATGCAACAAATTTCAACTGAAGGGAAAACAAACTTTTGCTTTATACCGTGCAGTTTTTTTCTAGCATTTCTCTTCGATTGTCAGGACGTTCGCTATGCATAAGTTATAAGATCAGAGAAACGCGTCATGTGCACGTTTCCCTTGGCCACGCGCATGATAATCCTTTCTATTAATTAATCTCTTAATAAGTCCAAACAATTTACGTGTCACTTTAATTACAAGACGCACGCTATTTAATTTGAATTAAACAGAACGTACAATACAACGCAGTTGGTAAGAGATCTTTTTCTGGCTATTCATCCGTAAAGGTTGCGTTTATATTCTGGAAGCATCTGCGAACTCCCGCTCTATCGATTTTAAGAGCGTGTAGATATATCTACATGCAGAATATTGCAGAATATGATATGCACAGAATTGGCACCCGTTACAATTCCTTTGACGAAGCGAGTCTGCAAAATATTGATTATTCAGCAGAATATTATAAATTCCGTACAATTGCAGATTCGCGACTGTTCAATAGCGATTGCATTTGCGATTTATTATTTTTGATAATGAATTCCTGATTTATGCTTCTCATAAATTTTTAGACAGTCAATATTGTCAAAATATTAACATATGTCTAAGTAGAAACTCACTCAGTAGAGGATTAAGCGCAGTATTATGACTTCAAATGTCATCCCCAGGAGAAATTATGTTTTTCTACAGTATATTCCTTTCGTTTTAAATATATTTTTCTCACAAATTTTTAAATAAGCCGTACAAATTTTCGCAGTACAGCGCGTTCTTGTCCCATCGTCGAACATTAAATAATTTTAAACAATTAATTATATCACTATAGGTAGAGCCTACAGTTAGAATGACAATAAAATAGTTAAATCTAAATTACAGCTTGGGTCAGTGATTCTTGGCCAGCTCTGGCTTGAGTTAATTTCCCCTAGGAGGACATGATTAAAAAACTAATAAATGTATGTCTTTTTTTTAATGCTCGATCTGGCTTTGATGCTGTTAGATTTACATAACTGACATAATTATGTCACTTCAAACTGAAAACAATTTTATTGGGAGAATTGCATACGACTTTATTTGTAGCTGACAATTAGAGCTACAAGTTCTGTACGAAACATTTTTCGCTTGGACGAAGAAAAAGCTTTTGCAACAAATAATTTCATTTATAAATTAATTTATTGTTGACGCTAACGAAAGATCTTTTATGCAGAAGTTATAGGCATTTACAGCCTCCACAAGAAAGATTATATGAATTTTTCTTCTAACTGCAGCATTTAACGAGTTACGTATAATTAATGGCATTTTATTGGTACATAATAACAAAATTCGGTCATTCCCATGTTTGGAAAAAAGTTTCGTTTTTCCTCAAATATTCCTAAACCGTTGGACTTATGGGAAAATTGCATACAACCTTTTTTATAGCTGACAACTAGAGCTATAACTTTTGTTTGAAGCATTTTTCGCTAGCGTCGATGGTTAACGAGTAACGATGACGACGAAAAATTGAAAAACAGTTTATTGCAAAATACTCGTTAATTATTGGCGGTAGACAAAAAATGTTTCATACAAAATTTATAGCTTTCGACGGTACCTATAACTTTTACTTGAAACATTTTTCATTAACGACAACAAATAAGTTAGTTGCTATTACAAACGAAAATTTCGAAAAATGCTTCGAATAAAAGTTGTAGGTATTGCTACTACCTACAAGAAAGGTCGTATACAATTTTCTTCTATCTCGAATACTTGATTTGTTTTCATCTTTAATCGTCAAAATCCAATATTATCGAAGCTAGGCCGATCATTGAAAAGAAAAGACAGATTTATTATTACTCTTTTTGAATCTCGTCCTCTTAGGGGAAATTAATGCTAACCGGACCTGACCAGGAATCAATGTCCCATGCTGTACAATAATTTAATAATGAGAGGGCAGTGTAAAGTAAAATTATTGCGTTTTCAAAATAACGCAAGATGCATGTGAATGCACAGCAAAATGAAACAAGCTCTAGTCAGTTGGCCAGCAGCGACAGCTGTTGTAGCATGCCCGTACTGGCTAATGGAAGTCTCGAGGTTCGATTTACTGGCACACGATAATGCATGAATCGTACTTTCCATCATCGCTACGCAGGTTCTTTCGTTTCCTGTGTGAGTTCAAGCTTTTCCTTACAAGTTATATCGCTATTATAATTGCTAATCGTCTTCATTTCAACGAAACCATCGTTCTCTTTACTCTTCTTCTCGCCGAACAGGAAAACGTAAGTATACGTGCCCAAAAAGGCACCAGCGGTTGGTCCGAACCAGTAAACCTAAAGAAAAAAAGGGTATCATTCAGGATTACTTCATGATGAGATCTAATCAGAACGATGCCGGACAAATATTTGTATCACACTTCTCTCGAAACTATGAGGTAACGCGATTGTGATAACGGCAACAAACGAAATATCTGATTCAGGTAATCACCGGATTGTTATCACTATACCGAGATTACATCAAACAGTACACACTATTACTGTACTGATTTGATCCTTGTGAGAATAGATAAGTCGCGTATTACATAATAGGAAATTACGAGAGCTCACCCATTGATTCGTCCAGTTGCTATTCCAGAATGCGGGCCCGAAGGTACGCGCAGGATTCATGCTGCATCCAGTATAAGGACTCTTAAAAAAAAAATATTCTTTCAGAGCTACTGCTTATATCTATTTTTTTAGATAATTTTAGATTTGAAATTACCGCAGCAAGTGAAATTGCAACGACGGAGAAACCAAATCTGATGGCCGTGGAATCGGTGGTGTGCGCGCATCGAGGATCCCATGTCGCGCTTGCCGCGCAGAGAATGAACGACGTGCAGAGGATTTCGATCAGAATCGCTTGGGTGATGCTGATTTCTGGATGCACGACGGTCACGCAGTGGCCAATCGTTGAATTCGAGACACCGTCGTTAAACAACTCCGGTGGTGTTATCATCTAATTGTTCGAATTGGACATGTATGTTCAATTAAGTCAATCAAACAATATTCTTTATCAGATCGTTTTCAACAAGCTTTTCATTTAAGTCAAATTATAAGTATTGGTTTTCTCGAAATTACTTTCTTCGACCGTTTCGTGTGACTGAATTAAAAAGTGACAAGTAGTTCACAGCTTCGTGATGCAATTCCATGCACTTCTGTGATGTAATCACAGATAACGATTACATAATACGGCAAGTGCTTTGTTACACAATGATTTAAGCTTCTTGTATAAATTATATAAAACATTTTTAAGAGCGTTGTGAAGTGTTTTTATCGAATGTAAAAAATTATTTATACCATTAACAATCCGTAGCCGATGGTAGCACCAATAAATTGTCCAAACACGTAAACAATAGCCGTTGGTATTGTTTTAACACCGAGGATCACTGCGCCTATGGTGACAGCTGGATTTAAATGTGCGCCGCTTATGTGGCCCAACATCTGTGTATTAAAAATCATTTCTTTTATGACAATCGCAATGAAAGTGTAGATTACGGAATTTTATGCAAAATCAAATTTTTAGAATGACAATTTAGAAAATGCGTTCTATATAGAAGTTCATATTGTCTAATTGCATATTTTTATGTCAGACGTACGCTACTATGATTCCACGTGTATTATAAAAAAGCGATCTGTTCTTACCATAATCAGTAGATTGACGGTCATACCGAAGGCAATTGAAGTCTGCAACGGCGGTGGTATCGACAGACCCATGGTTCCGATGGAGCCCATGCAGCCGACGAAGAGCAGTATTCCTGTACCGATCACCTCGGCGAGGAACATTGTCATCGTTCCCTTCTGCATGATCCACATCTTGTCTAAAAACGATCACCATATTTGATTTCGATTCCTATAACGGTTATTACAATTCACGCATCAGTGATGCTCACTCTTGCAGCTGATCTCGCGGGCGTCGGTCTCCATGGTGCACCTGTTAAGTCTTCAGTCGGAACTAACAACTACCGGGACCGCACCGTTACTATAATCAGCACTCGAATTACGAACAATTCTTCAGTCACCATCGGTAGATGGGTTTATCGTGCTTCGCAATATTCGTTTCGAAAAGAAATTGTCTTATCGATGAGTGCGTCAACGATACGATGCATTCTTCGTCGAATCAGTGCTTAATCGTACGGCTCAAGAGATGTTACAAGAAATTACATGTATTTGCTATTAAAGTAGCGATATCTTTAAAGCGTAACACGCCACGGCACGTGCCAAGGTTGTGATTTATTTTGAAAACTGCGTCAAAATAATTTTCTAGGAGTAGCTGTTGATTAATATTTTATTTACGAGCAGACCAAATATTGTAT